ATAGGTTTGGTACGTAATCGCTTAGGTATACCTGGCACATCCAAAGCACACTTAACATGAACGTTCTTATAGTAGGAGACATGGGGTACCTGGGCTCTGAAAAGTTCTTACGAAAATTCAACAAAAGCATATGCGCTGATCGCGTCTAAAATTAAATTTGGATAGTGGTAAAATGCTAATGCCGGTAAGATTGTGAATTGGTGTAAAGCGGCGGTAAACAGTACAGTAACGTACAATATAGAAACAGTTTAACGGAAAGGACGCAGCTCCCTTGTAGGGTATCTAGTCGTCTTTTAGCAGACAGCGAGCTAAGCTTGCTATCTACTCAGTCGACTTGCTTCTACCTATAAAAAAATAAATGATGGACCTTACTTGAGGCAGGGCTCTGGATTCTTCGCAAACACAGCCGCTACTATCGGAGTGATGTAATAACGAGCAAAAGTTTCGTTGTAAGCATAGGCGGGATCCGGTAGACGTGGACAGTTCAGCGCCCGCTGAAATTATTGTTTCTACTCTATCTCTTCACCTCTTCTTTAAGGTATCTTCAAGACATACCGTTATGGGAGTCTTGCATTTGGTTGTCATAGCTTCGCAAGTTTTTGTCTGAGGACACCATCTTAATCAGTTACACATGTTTTCAGACTGCACCTCCGAAAAGAATTACCTACGTCTGTGATTGGTTCAGACATTGGGTGCACTGGTCCACGTCTTGAGCAATTACCAAAACTGAAACGCACAGCAAGCCAAATAGAGGCAGCATGCTGAGGTCAATTCCAAGTCCTATAGCGAGTAACTTGAATTTGTAATATATTATACATCTCAAGAACAGCTGCAAGGATGAACAAAGAGGAAAAGCGGAACTCCGCTTGGTTGCTGGTTGGTTATCGTGACCGTAAAGATAACACTGATCTTTGGATGGAAAATTTACGTACGCGGAGAACAATGCAGTCAGAAGAAGGCGGCTCAAATTTGCAAAACCAATAAATTTGAGTGAGACCTCAGTATGAAAGAATGAGGGAACTGGAGATACAATACAAACCCTATTTTTGCGAATGATTCCGCAATTGGTTTAAAGTTTAGAAGTTTAACGAGGAAGTCGGTTTCTTGTTCGAACTTCGAAAAATGTACTCTGATTTTTGTTACTGGAAATCTGTGTCCAGTTAGGTACATGAAGTGCTGTGATATCGAAGGTATAACTGAAAAGTAATATTTAAAGACAAACTCAGTAGGACCCAATCGCTAAAACATCCGTAAGTATTCGTGAACAAGAAGCTCACAGCGATTTGTCATACCTCTCCGTAACATCGAATTATTGAAGTGGAAAAGGTGATATAGTTCTCATTCTCATTCCATATTCTGTTTTTTAAGTGTTTCCACCAAGGTAAAACAGCCATGCGCTTGTTTTTCCGTTTTAGATTTTGTAGTTAGTAATATCTTGAGCTGTTTTGGGCACATCCTCATTCATTTAGTCGAACGGTTCGAATGGTCAATGCATCGCGGCTAGCGATGCACACGCAAGATTCGCGTTGCCCGATCGCCTTCGAAGGTTTGCTGGCATGTAGCCAACAATGACTCTTCAAGCCTCATTTGCTCGTCTGCTCATTTCCTTTATTTATTACTCTTCGGGTGAGATTTTTATAGTGTATCATTGTGGTTTGAGTAGTTTTGAGTACCAGAGCAAGATGTCTGTTCTAGAATATGCAAGCCGTGTGTGGAGGCATCTATAATATTAGGAAACACAAAGATACCGTGGAGAACATTCAGCACCAAACTTCTCCTCCTACATTTTACGAATTTGGTCGCGAATACCTCTAAGAGTTATTCACGATCTTGTTTAGATCTTTGTTTCTTGCTTTGTTTATCTTGTTTTGCATTTA